ACGGGCCGTTCTGGGTGTGATTTTTACCCATGTTTTTATGGTCCAGAACGGGCCGTTCCGAATTTGGAACGGGCCGTTCCGGCGAAGCTTGAGGCCTATAAATTGAGCTCTCTACCACTCCCAAAAAGGCACACCTCTCATTTTTTGATTTCTTTTCTTCTGCTCTCTCTTCTTTTCCTCTACTTTCTACTTTAGACCGAGGGGAACCCAGCGAGGGAGACCAACCAGATCTTGTGTAGATTCAGCTTCTATATATCCAGGTATGGGGAAAAGGGGATTATTTATATGTAGAGTTACATGAGGGAATTGGGTAGAGGAAGAGCCCGTAGGATTATGAGTAATTTTATAATTATTTCTGTTTGGAGAAATATTTGTCTTATGTGATTCTGTATATATTTAGGACTATGAATATATGATTAATTTGTAAAAATGATGCTCTGGGAGAGAGAACGAAATTATAGAAAAGTGCCTGTAAGTTAGGTTTTGGAAAATTTGGATTATTTCTGTTTGAGGAATTAATGATACCATTAGATTCTGTATGTGTTGAGGATTAGAAATATATATTTAATTTGTAAGAATGATGATTTGGGAGAGAAAACGAAATTGTAGAAAAGTGCTTGTGAGCTAGGTTTTGGACCAATTGGGGGTTTTATTGTTTATGTTGAAATTATATTAAATTGGTAATTTCGTTAAGTATTATATTAATTTATGAATGTTATTGTTATATTATTTGTTAAAAATTATGAGTTAGATGTGAATTGTTTGATGTGTATGAAACCCATTATTTTTTACTTATTTGATGTGTGTATGGATTTGAGCTATGAGATGAGATGTTGTATGGATGTGAATATGATTATGATTGTGGTTCCTCACATCAATGACTAGGGATGGCATGGCCCCTGGGTAAGTGATGCTACAGGGAGGGCGTGACCCTAGCATGATGTGGGATGAGTAAGACAGTTAACACATATCACTTATGTCAAATATGTCAGCCCTGACATAGGGTTAATTGTAAGAGATTGTGTGGATTGTGATGTGATTGTGGTTCCTCGCATCAATGACCAGGGATGGCACGGCCCCTGGGTAAGTGATGCTACAGGGAGGGCGTGACCCTGGCATGGTGTGGGATGAGTGAGGTAATTAACACGTATCACTTATGTCAGTTGTGGCGTGGCCTTGGCATAATGTTAATTGAAGATTGTGTGAATTATGAATGTGAAAATGATAATGTTAATTGCAAGATTTGAGATAAATGGGTGTGATTGCGAATTATGAAGTGAAAATGATGCATGATTGATAGAGTTATGATATATAGAAATGCTTGTAAATATTTCATTATGTAATGAGATTACATTGTTGTGTATGTGCTTTACATATGGATGTTTTCTTTTCTTACCGTACAAATTGTGGATGTTTTAGGTGAGGAAGATCTGGCTACGAGTGGCATCTAGAATGCCAACGGTTGAATTGTGGGGATGCTCTGATATTGTGACATCGGGGCAGAGGATTTTT